CTGCCTCTGCCTCCCGAGTGCTAGGATTAAAGGCATGTGCCACCAACACTCAGGGATAATGACAATTTCTAAGAACATTATCTCAATTCTAAATTTCAATGTCAGCACTTTCAAAATCAGAAACACAGTCAGGCCTGATAGCACATCCCTTTACCTAGCACTCAAGAGGCAATGGTGGGAGTACCTCTATGACTTCAAGGTCAGTCTTGTCTATGCATGGAGTTTCAGGTCATCAGGGCAATATAGACTCTGTATTAAAAAATACAAATTAAAAATTGAAAAAAATTAAAGTGCACCCCTTTAATCCCAGCACTCAGGAGGCAGATCTCTGAGTTTTGAGGCCAGCCTGGTCTACAAATCAAGTTCCAAGACAGGCTCCAAAACTACACAGAGAAACCCTATCTTGAAAAACCAAAAAAAAAAAAATCAAAATCAGAAACATATGACAAATCATAACCAAGACAACATCTGATTTTAGTCTCTAGGGGAAAATCCCCAAACAGCAAAATATTATAGAATGGTTGTTCATGTCAGACAAGGCATCTGGGACTTCAAAACCAGAGTCCTGGGTAAGAGGGTGCAACCCATAGTCACGGGGAACCTGTATGAGGTTTGAAATAATGAATGGTTACCAAGGTCCAGACTTGGAAAGCAATGGTAACCCTAAAATGTCAGGAGTAAGTAATCAGCTACGTTCACCTGAGCTGAAGAGTGACAACGAAAGTCACGGAGCTGACATCTAAGAAGCCCATACCTTCTGGTATAAAAAAACCACCTAAGAAGAGCCAAGTTACAAACTAATATGGATCCATCAAAATATATAGTAAAAGCAAGTGTGCTGCCATATGCCGGTGATCCAATGCCTTGGAGGTAAAGCTCAGTCTTTGTTTTATAGAGTTCAAGGCCAGCCTGGGTTACCAGAGGCCTTGTCTCAAAGATAGACTCGAAAAACAACAAACAAACAAGAAAGAAAAACAAAAGAGGAAAAGAAAGAACAAAAAATAAGAAATGCCAATGGTCAAACGATCTTACACAATGACTGTATTATTTTTAAAGGGAGGGCAACCACAGGGAACACAAATGAAACAAGGACTTATAAATGCAGCAGGACCGATACTCACGGGAACCCAAAGCGACTGAGCAAGCACAGGGCGGGCCAGCAAGGGGCTGTACAAGATAGTGTGGAGCTGGAAGGAGAAATGGAACCGTGTTCCGTAACACAGAAGCTATCTTTAACTGATAACCACTCACACATGGAAATTCAGTTTCCTCCAAGGGAGTCTCACTGGGAAAGCAAACCACTCTGAAAACAAACTCAATGGCATCTTCCTTGCTTTATAATGTGTCAGAGCTTCTCTCTCTCTCTCTCTCTCTAAAATTTTATCTTCTGTATTATTTTTTTCTCAGTTTTTACTATAAAGGTCCCTTTGCGCATCCATTACGGCTTTTTTTCTTTTTCTCCATTTTTTATTTAAGTTAAATACAAGATTATTTTACATGTCAATCCCATAGGGGGTCTTCAGAGTCTGTCATGTCCTTTGGGATAACGATGACACCAAGTAACAATCTAAGCAACAGAGGAGAGGCTACCATAAATGCCCTCTCCTGATAATGAGATTGATTTATATGTCATCCTAGAGCCTTCACCCAGCAGCTGGTGGAAGCAGAAGCAGACACCCACAGCTAAGAACTGAACTAAACTGGAATCCAGATGCAGAGAAGGAGGA